TTACGATTAGATTATTCCCATACCGATATCTAGAAATCCTTCTAAGATGAAGATGTTTCTTTGGCGGAATAATATCGTCAAAATGGCGGATCAGCTCCAGCTCAATATAATTTCTTACCTCTTCTGGCAAACTATCAGATGAGCTAATTAATTCAGCGAGTATTTCCAGAAAATGGTTTACCTCAGTTAAAAGAGCAAAATTTAATTCACTTTCCAATAAAAGTACTACACTATCCTCCAGAGTTGTACTAGATTAATTGCTTACCTTATCCTTCCCCACTTTGCTGCAACCATGGTTAGTACGACTTACCTTATCCGCAAAGTTTCTCGAGCTAATTCTAACTCCTAAATTCCGGAGCTTCTTATCATGTATCCGACGCGTCATTCTGTCAGTCGTCTCTCTTAACCCGTCAGCCATGCCTTGTAACTTAATGAAATCCACATCCTCCAATATTTCAAAAAGGGATTGCCTAAGCCTAGTTTGGCTTCTAATTAGTTCGTGTAGTTTGTTACTGCCTTCCTTGAGCCAATAACCAAACCACACGATACCTGATTAAGTAACCTATCGGTGGACGTCGGTAGATTATAACGTCTACCGAGTAAACGACACCTAAAAACAACATTATGAGAAATACAAACTCCTAAAAATCAAATTCTATTAACTTGCCGGGATATAGTTTTCTTCATGATAGTGTAGTGAGAAGACAAATGACAAGAAGTCGAACTGCACGTACACTGTAGATACGAAGAAAAATTGGGTTTCTATGAATCTCCTGAGAAAACATTGTTGGAAGGACTTTAAGACGTGCCAGATCACGCAGCCCCAGTCTTACCTTTCCTTGGGGGTTTAACGTTAATGACCCTAGACTGAGAGGTTAAGACAAGTGGTTTCGTAACTTGACTTACATGCTTACAAGCTCATATCTCAATCATACTTGCTTGCGTACTTACGCAGTCTTCGTATGGGCTTTATCTTGAGTCATTAGGCCTTGATGATCAGAGCCTGACATTAGTTTTTTGATCACTCGGATTTAGGACCAGTATTGCGTATAGAAACTAACACACAACCATACATACGCACACACTCAAGCAAAAATAGCAGGACCAGTATGAAAGATAATTAGTCAAACCACTATTTATCTTTCTAGATTTTGAACTTTCATTTGCTCAATTGAGTCTACGTACGAGGTAAGATAGAGCCTGATATTCTTCTTGCCCTAGCGTTAACATGAGACTTTTACAGGAATCAGACTCAGCTCTGATGATGTCCATCATATGATGGACAAAAGCTCAGCCCATTTTCACCCAAAACGAGAGCGGAGGTCCCGTGGACTGCGTCAACCCGAACGTCGTATCCGTCCTCTTCTGATGAAATCGACCTACGTATCTCTTCTTCATGCACTTTCATACGAAATGAAAGTCCCACCAACAATTTTATCGCCAGAGATTCATCGAAACAATCTACGCACGATTCTACTTCTTGTCATTTGTCTTCCCGCTATACCTTTCTTAGTTTAGTGGGTTTTTTTCGTGAATAATGCTTTCTGGTTCTGACGCTGTCCATCACCTGATGCACGAAAGCTTAGCACAGGGTCATCGGCGTCTTCTTTACACAATTCAACAGGCAAAAGTCCAAGGCAACAATCCTTCGCTACCCGGTGAGTCCAATGTGCGAATTTCTTCGACCCAGCTTCTCAAACGAAATGAAGGCTATGCCAATATCAATCTCTATTTTATTGTATCCAACACACTATTAATCTCGTTGCAAGTCTGCTTCTCGTATTGAGATAAACTTTGATTCTGCAACCCTGAACGGTGTTATGGGAGATTTGGAGATTGGGTGTGTTTTGCAGTTTCTCCAGCAACTTCTGTTCGTTTCGTATGCATCAAGCCAGAGGCCCTACCAGCAGCAAGCAACAGGCGCAGAAATTGCCTCAGGCAGCAGCTTGCAAGTAGCAAGCCCATCTGTTTCGACGGGCTACCAATGCCAAATGTGATTGTGCCTGGTTGCAGGCAAAACAGTGTGTAGACGGGATTACAACGAGACTGAAGGTTCAGTAGTTCTGATCCCTCGACTACGGAGCTGTTGAAGTCTTGATGATCGTCGGCAAAAAGTTGTCCTTTTGTTAGAAAGAGAAGCTGACTTTCGAAGAATCCCTTAAGAGTTTGAGGCAGATGGTCGGGATTAGTGCATTGGTCTAATCAGAAACCGAAGCAGTATTGTCTTGGACGTGTTAGTACGAGATTGTGCTCCTTGTCCTGGGGCTCGCATTAATCTGTACTCAGTTATCGTCCTTCCTACCATGACAGGCATCGTCAGGACAAGAATGCACCATTACGAAAATCCCACTTACTTTTTGCTCCGAAATTTGCGATTATTGACGAGGCGTTAGTTTATTTGCGTTAAAAAAACATCTGCAACCACATCCACTCTCATTTGCATACCTCTGAATGCAGGTAGGCATAAAGTAGCCATACAAATAATGCGATATGTAGAAAGACTGGTTTTCAAAGAATCCCTTGATAGATTGATGTTGGAATAGCTTTCACTCCGTTTGAACCCCACGAGTCTCCCGACCATCGCATGCACACGACACACGCGCAATAGAACGCAATCACATTCTGCAACATTGCAGAATCAAAAATGTGCTTTAGGAGAAGATGAAGCTGTTCGGTCACAATTGCATTCGTTTCATGCATGTAGGAAAAGCAAAGAATATCCAAACAAATCACATAAAGTGGACCTAGCTAGGCTATAAGAAGTATGCAGGTTTGCCTTTGTGTTTTAGTGAATTATCGTTAAGAATGGTGTCCCGCTTTGACGATGTCCGTCACATGGCGGACGAAAGCTCAGCAAGGATTCATCGGGGTCGTAGACCGGTGCGCCGGGCACCTATTCGCACAAATTTAAAGGCAATCGCCATGCAGCTTCCGGTGAGACCAACTTACGAATCCCTTCCACTCGCCTCTTCGGATGAAATGAAATGTACTCCAGCAAGTAATGCGATGTCTCATTGAGATACCAAAATTCGGCATAGAATACAAGTAGGATTTCAGCCGGCCCCCTTTTCTTGGCTCGTAGTTTTGGTCAATTTGTAGTAAATAATGGTTTCTGCCTCTGACGATGTCGCCCACATGACAGAGAAAAGGTGAGCACTGAGCCATCAGGGCCACAGAATGATGATGCCCAATCCGCCAGTCACAACGCCAAGACAACCATCCTTCGGTTTCCGATCAGGCGAATTCGAACAAATGAAGGCTGCGCAAACATCTGTCTTTTATGAAATGTATGCACCGCATTTAGTTAAGATGATGAAAGACTTGTAGTCAACTTTTCCTTTAATCATATGAGTAAAACTTACGTTTTCATTCAATTTCACATGGCCTTGCTTTTCGAAAGATATTATCATCCAAGCAGGACTGCAATTTCTACCCCGCCCAGGTCCCATTAGCACCCCCAGCGGAATCTAAACTTGGGCTGTGATGGTGATATAATGTAGGCATGTTAACCACCATACCACACGGCAACTGCAGATGTGAATTTCAAGGAAGACCATGTGTCTTCCCATAGCACATTCCTTAAGGGAATTAGCAATAAAGTAAAGTTGGACTTTCCATAGAATTCGAATGCATTACTTAATATTCTTGAGCTCATTTCCAGTTTGAGGGAAGGTGTTTGGTGAAGGGATTCACAAGTCGATCCCACCAGAAAATGACGATGGATTTCTCTTGATCAGCTACCTATTGGATTTACTGGAACATTGTTGTTGACGCGGTTTCCTAAGCAATCTCCTTTGATTCCGGTGAAAACATGCTAAATCTTCTTCCGTAACATAACAGACATCATCAGAGAGGAGTATCATTCCTACAACCATATTCAAGCCATTGAGTTAAGAAAACTCATAGGCTTATCCCCAAATGCGATATATATATATATATATATATATATATATATATGTATGTATGTATGTTTGCATATATGAAGTTCAATGGTAACGTAATGCATACTGATATAATTGTACGAAAATTCAATTACCAGTCCTCTATCATCTCAACAAAATAGAACGAATACCTCTCATAAATGAACATACATACATAGAAGAATTGCATTCACCCTTCTACGTTTAATGCAGTCAAGGACTGGTACTTGAATTTTCCCACATAGAAACGTGAGGACCTCACTTTTTAATTGAATTTCCCTTAGCCTTGATTTACAAAAGGTATTTTCATCAAGACTTAAGTGCAATCTATTTTCGACATTGCCCATGCCTCATCAGCATTCCAATAGAAATTCGAGCCCTGACATTGCAGCGTACACTCTTGACACGTTAACCACTGTGTCACAATGCCACGAGGGTGATTGGATCAAAGGCAGACTCATATGACAATTCAAATATCAGCCCATCCTCATCTTAAACGCAATAGGGGGAATACAGCTCCTATATCAGTTATACTGGCTGTCTCGAAAACCCACTTATGATACATACATACATACATACATACATACATACATACATACATACATACATACATACATACATACATACA